CAAAGGAAGCGCACCTAACGGATGTGCAAGTCATTTAAGCAAATAGATCGATCGTCAATTGATTAACTACTGGTTTATTGTCATCGATTACGCGTCGATCGATAATGCAATCGATTGCGGCGACGCCCGCCTGTCACGTTATTGTGTCTTGTTGCAGAGCGTTCAGTCTGGACGGAGCGTCTCCCGTATTGGAGGAGAAGGAGCGTAACGATAAGAAGGCAGCCTACACGGGAACGTGGCTCACCGACCACTATCAGGAGATGGGCAAGGGCGAGAGAAAACAACTGCGACTCTTCTTTCAGGTGCGAAAAACACACGAGCTTCTCAGTGCGGCGCATCAACAGTGTGATTAGCGCAGTATTCCCAGTAACGAAGGTACACGGGGTTAGACATGCGCGCACACACCTACGTACAAACGCATACGCACGCACCGCACACACACGCACACACGCACGCACACATGCACACACGAACACGAAAACACGCATCGACTCACTCACCGGAGGAGGGGCAGGCATCCAGGCACGCATAAACACACGCGCGTGCGCGCGCGCGTGTGTGTTTGTTTGTTTGTGTGTGTGTATGTGTGTGTGTGTGTGTGTGTGTGTGTGTGTGTGTGTGTGTGTGTGTGTGTGTGTGTGTGGCTGCATGCGTGCGGGCGTGATCGTATGTGTGCGTGCGTGCGCGTTCATGTGTGGGTGTGTGTATGTGCGTGTGTGTATATTCGTGTGTGTATGTACGTGCGTACGTGCGCGCGCGCGTGTGTGTGCGGGGGTGGGGGGTATGTATGATGTGGGCTTGTCATGTAGCTTCGCTCTTCGATTGTGTCGCCCCATATTTTGTGATGAGTCACCGTCCATTTAATGAAGTAACGGGTATATTATATATATATATATATATATATATATATTATATATCGCGAATATTATTTAATTTGGATGCAGTAATATACCGGACGTGATTTATTTATGTCAGCGATATTTCATGAATTTAATTAGGCTCCTGCTTCTGAACAAAACGAACGGTTGTGTTACTGTTCCCTCGGAAAATTTCCGTCACACCATATATATATATACTATAACTGTAGGGTAGCTGTCGCATATTTAGCTGTAGGCTAGCTGTGGGATAGCTATTGGCTAGTTGTAAGTTAGTTGTAGGCTAGTTGTAGGCTAACTGTATGCTACCTGTAGGCTAGCTATTGGCTAGTTGTAGGCTAGCTGTAGGGTAGCTGTAGACTAACTGTATGCTAGCTGTAGGCTAGTTGTAGGCCAGCTGTAGGCTAGCTGTAGGATAACTGTTGACTAGCTATAGGCCAACTGTAGCCTAGCTGTAGGCTAACTGCAGGCTAGCTATAGCATAGCTGTAGCCTAGCTATAGGCTAGCTGTATGCTAGCTAGAGCATAGCTGTAGCCTATCTATAAGCTAGCTGTAGGCTAGCTGTACATTTCGCACCTTTTTCGTAAAATTGCCATGCCTAGAAACGAGAGCCTCGGTAAAGCCTCTGTCAGAGATTTTGTATCAGTCAATAACTTTCGTCTGCCAAAGACATGCAAATCGCCCGACTGCGCAATTGCATTCTATTGATCAGACGACGACGCCGACGTCACGCAGTGATAGCTCTCCGCGAGAATTAATGGCGCGATGTGCGATTAGGCAGGTTTTACAGACATTTTGTCTATGCCCGTAAAAATCATGTTTGCATGATGCACTCAGAATGCGCCAAGGTGGTTCGGCATGGTCTTATCTGCATTGCACATCGACTGCGCAGTGTCACAAAGCTGAGTGTTGATCGCATCGCAGAGGTGACATTTGCTTGACTTTGCCTATCTCCTATTCAATACGCGGATGATTTCATTGGGCGACTCGTCTATTCTGAATGTCACGCGGGTTTTGCAAAACATGACAGGTTGCGCACCCACGCGTAGATCGTTGTAGCGGGTGCGTAGTATAAACTGACTAATTGACACGTGTCGTTCACACACACGCGTCATCTTGCTCCGTGTGTGAAAACTGACCAGCGCGTGAAACCAGATCTCACGCAGCCATTCCTTATGCAGCTGCACCTTATGAAGCCAGACGATATAAAGACAGGCCGTGTTACAACAGGCCGTGTAAAAACGAACCTTGTGAAGACAGGCCGTGTTAAAAATAGACCGTGTTAAGACAAACTGTGTGAAAACAGACCGTGTGGAGTCAGACCGTGTATAGCCAGATCTTATGAAGACAGAGCGTGTTAAGACCTTATGTAACCAGAGTGTCTTAAGACTTTATGACGACAGAGCGTGTTAAGACCTTATGAAGACAGAGCGTGTTAAGACCTTATGTAACCAGAGTGTCTTAAGACTTTATGACGACAGAGCGTGTTAAGACCTTATGAAGACAGAGCGTGTTAAGACCTTATGTAACCAGAGTGTCTTAAGACTTTATGACGACAGAGCGTGTTAAGACCTTATGAAGACAGAGCGTGTTAAGACCTTATGTAACCAGAGTGTCTTAAGAC